TAAAATTGCTAAAATTTATTATAAATTATACTATCTAGTAGTTGTTTTGTCTGGTCCGGTTAGTTCGGTCATAATCACGACAGAACCGAACTAACTGAGATCGAACTTGCTCGGTCCTAAGTTTTAAGATTAATCAATCGGTCTTCATTTTTAGATGACCGAACTTTCCAAATGACCGAAGAACCGATCGGTTAGGCTCGGTTAGACCGAACGCCTAGGCCTACCGCTCGTGCCGCTCGCCCGCATCGCAAAAAAAGAAAAGAAACCATCGACGCGCACTCTGCTCCGTACCTGCAGCCGTCGCAGGTGACACCGCTACTCCCACCCCCACCGATCGATGCCGCTGGCTCCATACCATCCGTGTCTCCGCCCCAGTCTCCCCTTCCTCTCTCTCTCCTCTCCTCCCTCCCTCCCTCTCTCTGGCGTGGCCCAAAGCGCGGCCACCTCCACGCGCTACGCAAGGCCGGCTCGACGATGCCCCAGTCGTGCGGCGCAACCCCTCGACGGGTGGTTGCTCGCCCACATCGCGCGCCGCGCGCCTCCGCCGCACTCTGCCTCGCTGCTCCTTCCACCAGATCCACTGTGCGCGAGAGAGATCCAATGGTGGTGGGGACTGTGGCGCCGGCAGGGGCTGCGAGGGGCTGCGTGTCGAGCCCACAATACCAGCGACCACGAAGGGGTCCCAGCTGGCCTTCTAGTGGGCGGAGTCCATCTGGTTGATGGGAGCGACGGCACGACTGTCTTTGGTGAACTCCCCACGTCGGCAAGCCTCCATCTCACAAGCAGCAAGGAGATGTTGCGATGTGTTGTAAACGTATGTTGCAAGCGTATGTTTTAAGTGTTTCGGATGTTTCAGAGGTATGTTGCAATTGTTTCAGATAAATATTGCAAAAGTAGATAAAAATGTTGCATATGTTGTAAAATGCATGTTCCCAATGTTTCATTTGTGTTTTTTGGACATATTGTTGCAAGTATGTTTATCTGGATGTTGCATACGTTTTGAACATATGCTGCAAGTGTTTTATCTGGATATTGCGTATGTTTGCAATGGTTTTCATGTGTCTTTGCAAGTATTTCAGAAGCATGTTTCAAGTGTTTCATTTGTCTTTAGACGTATGTTGCAAGTGTTGCATCTGGATGTTTCAAAAGTAGATCGGGTGTTGCACATGTTGCAATGCGCGTGAGAAGCGGAGGGGACACGAGCTGTCCCCACGCGCGATCTAGCGGCATGGGCGGCGTCCGGGTGGCGCAGGCCCCGCATGGGCAAGTGAAACCTAGGCGCAGGCGGGGCGTGCAGTTTTTTTTTGTGAGAGCGTAGGAAACTGCAGAGCTGGCGTCCGGACGTGGGCCTCGGGCTGAACGTACGGGCGCTAGTCCCAAAAAAAGAGTATTTAGACAAAAAGAATTTGATTGTTAATAGCGTCAAATATCTGAAGGCAGCAAACAGATGAGAGCCCGGCCGATCGCTTTCTGCAAGTCAATCTGAAAAACACTACAAAGAAACTGAATTCCCAGATTTCCACGACTTGGCCCGATGTCACAAGTGCACAACGCAACTCCAGATTGGCCCACGAAGGCGAGACGGTGTGAGTGAATCGGCTTGCGGAGATGGTTCGCCTCAACCCTCAACCGCCCTCAACTGGCCGGCACGAGTAACGGCAGTAGCGGCCAAGTATGCAAGTCATATAGTCAGTCTGGCAGGAGAGGCAGGTGCACGGGGAATTTTTTTTTTCTGCATTCGTGATGCACCCGGACGCCGTACAGCACCGCATGGATGCCGTCCACTTATCCTATGCATAAACCCTTCATGCCGAGCAAAACATTCCTCCATTTTTCCTATGCATAAACCCTTCATGCCAAAGGGATGAACAGTGTTATTTCCTATAGGTTTTGGAATCCTTCATTTTTTTTTCTTCAAAATTCCTTCAATCCAAAGTGTTGCAAGCTTGATTTCTTTTGCATAGAATGCAGCACCAGCTCTAAAACCTGGAATTGAAGGTGCACAAGCTGCAGCACTTAGGGTGAGCAATGACCGAGGCGGCTACCGGGGATGCGGCTTCTTTCAAGCCCAGGGTACTCTACATGATGACCAGAACAAGTACTATTTCAAAGAGTGCACATGGGGCACATGCCCAGACGAGGTAATCATTTCAAAGAAGCATATGGTGACAGGTCCCTGTACGAGGTAATCATGTCTTGTGAGTTGTGATCTCAGTAGCCAAGCGAAGCATTAAGACTTTATGAGCTGGTTAACTTGTTGTCTTTTGTCTTTTTCAGAATTGCACACTTCACATCGTGGCAGAAGAATTGTTCCAAGGGCAGCGCTCGATCAACGGTGCAATCACGGCACAAGTACGGTGTTTTCCCGATAACAAAACGACTTCTCATTCGTTGGCTGCACAATCAAAGGAACCGGATGGATCCTGCTCAGGAGGGGCGTGGCAAGCCTACTGCGTTTCCCTTCTTCTCCTTTTCACTGATTTCCCGTAGCGAGCAGCAGCGTTTCCCCTCAATTCGTCTCACACAATTACTCTTTGCTCACAGTAATCCGTGACAGGCCCAGGTGTATCGAAGATGGCAGTGGGAGTAGGAGGCAGATCTCAACTCCACTTGCAGTTGCTGCTCTTTGTCCTGTTCGTTTGGCTGATAAGCTATGGCTGAAAATACTATCGGCTGATTTGTTATAAGAGAAAAATAATATTAGTTGGCTAAAAAAGTACGACTTATAAGCCAAGCGAACAGGGACCAGAAACGCACACTATTTCAAAGAGTGCACATCAACTTTTTGTTTAATTAATCGGACAATTAATAGGGATATAAACTACCATTAATATCCCATCAGGACTGACCTATCAGTGGTAACGATTCATGCATGTACTTTCAGCACTGTTTTCTACGGCGACTTCGAGTGCACTAGAAATGGGGCGGACATGGCCAGCAGAGTGCCTTATGCCCGGAAGCTGAACAAGTCGCAAGCTGAGCCGTTTTCTGACGACTGTGTACATCAATGGATCTAGGTGGCTGAAACCATTCAATGACACCCTAATTGAATGAAATCTGAAGAATGTTTGAATAAAGTTTTGAGTTCAAGCAATCGAAATAATGTCTGAATTCTTGCCTTGTCCATCTTCTTTGTGCTTTGTTTTCCCCATTTTCAGCCTGTTCGGTTGGCTGGTTCATATCGTCGCTGGTTCGTGAAGAAGTACCGTTGGCTGGTTTATGTGAAAGAAAAATACTATTTCGACTAAAAATTTACGATCGTTTACGATATGCCATAGCCAAACGAACAGGTTGTTTATTGTCGACCATCGGTTTGGGCTCATTGTTTCGAGGAGAATCGCCTGAAACCGGGAAGAAAGGTGTGGCAGTGGGTCAGGTTTTCAAGCTAGGAACAGGTAGCCGTGGGCACACGGCGCACGGCGCACGAGGGCTCATTTGCCAATCGCATGATCAAGTACAGGCCCATTTGCCTGGACTCTGTGTTAAAGGCCCAACACCCCATCAAATGCAGGGGTCCGATCTTGGACCCTAATCCCGCGCCGAATGCGCAAATTTTTCTCGAGCACAATAGTTATTTTTGTCCCTCAACTATTACTCGAGATTTAATTTCATCCTTAAACTTTCAAAACGGCCGTTTATGTTCTCAAATTTTAGTTTTAGGCTTAATTTCATCCTACAACTATGAAAATAATTGTTTCAGTCCTTAAATTTTGTATTTTAGGCTCAATTTTATTCATAAACCATCAAAGTGCATTTAATTTTTATTTTTAATTCAATTTTGTCTATTTAAAAAGAAAACATTATATTTTAGATACAATTTCATTCATAAATTATCAAAATTATAGATATGATATTGTTTTGATATATTCATGTATTCTTAAAGAATAAATATTGTTCGATGCAATTGTAATTGCTCCCACAAATATCATTTAGTTAGATATATATAAACAACACCATTATAAGGTAACACTAAAAATAACAGCTTGAAAAATTATTAATGGTCACGAAAGAGTTTTTAGATGAATATTATTTTTCTATCTCCAATCGATAGTGGTGTTAGAGCTAACCATGTGCAACAGTGCGTTCCATATACAATGTAGACAAAGTTGAGTTGAAAATAAAAGTTTAAAAAATAAAATACACTTTGATAGTTTATAAATGAAATTGAGCCTAAAATGCAAAATTTGAAGACTAAAACGATCATCTTCATAGTTCTATGATGAAATTGAGTCTAAAAATAGAATTTAAAGAGTAAAACAACCATTTTAAAAGTTCAGAGATAAAACTAAACCTCGAATGATAGTTGAGGGATCAGAATAACTTTGGCAAGGAGCCCGTGCAAAAATATCCCGTACAGGCAGCGCGAGGGTGGAAGGCTGGCCGTGCAGGGCCCACCTCACCCATATCATTATCACCTCATGTACTTTCATCAACAAAATTTTAAAAGTCATAACTCCTAAACTAAACATCTAAATTAAATTCCGATTACACCATCAGGTTTCTTGCAATAAATACCCCAAAACAAGATCTCACATATATATATTTAGGTAAAATTTTATTAACAAATATTTATCTTATAAAGATAGAACATTTTCTTTTATTAAGCAAAGACAATGTTTTAGGTTCAAAGAATAATGTTCCGTCTTTGTAAGAAAAATGTTCTCGGTTTAGAAGAATAGTATTATAGTTTTAGATTCATGAAATTAATATTATAATATACACAAAAATAAAAAAAATAAATACATAACGTAAGTAAAAATAATAAAATATAGAGCAAAGCATAAGAAAATAAAAATAAAAACGTGTAATAGAGAAATACACAAACTCCCGCGCCGCCGACCCAAAATGGAATCCGCTGACGGCAGGCATGGCACGAAAACTCGGCCCACTCTGCAGCGGCCCAACAAAGTGAACAAACACGAAGACCCGTACAACGCGACGTCACGACCCAACCCGTCCTCTCCAGATCTCAGCCCGAACCACCCAGCCGCGCCGCCCTGATGGCCTACACCACCTCGCCGTCGACGTCGACGGCAGCGGCGGTGGCTTGGGCCTTCGCTGCCGCCACCTGCGTGAAGCTCCTCCTCGTCCCCACCTACCGCTCCACCGACTTCGACGTTCACCGCTACTGGCTCGCCCTCACGCACGCGCTCCCCGCGCGGCAGTGGTACACCGACGCCTCCTCCCAGTGGACGCTCGACTACCCGCCCTTCTTCGCCTACTTCTCCCGCCTCCTCTCACTCCCCGCGCTGCTCGTCGACGCCACCCTCGTCTCAGTCCCCGTGCCCGACGCGCCGCCCTTCGCGCATCTCCTCTACCTCCGCCTCACTGTCGTTTTCTCCGACTTCCTCCTCCTCTGGTCCGTCCTCTTATTGGCTAGGGACGCGCGGCGGAAGCAGCGGCCGTTCCTCGCTCTCGCGCTCGTCCTATGGTCGCCGGCGCTGCTCGCTGTCGATCACGTCCACTTCCAGTATAATGGATTCCTCATGGGGCTGCTGCTGCTTTCTCTGCACTTCCTCGAGCAGGGGTGGGATCTTACCGGGGGAGTTGTGTTCGCATGCTTGCTGTGCTCGAAGCACCTGTTCCTCGTGGCAGCGCCGGTGTACTTTATGTATTTGTTCCGGCATTATTGCTGTGGCCGGGGTGTCGTGAAGGGGCTGGGAAGGCTCGCGCTGATGGGCTCTGGAGTGGCTGTTGTTTTTGCTGCAGCATTTGCGCCCTTCGTGTACTATGGTCAGGTGAGTGAATCTGGTTACTTGAAGTTTTGGATTCAACAACTTGTTGGTGTCTTAGCTATCTCCATACGGTACTTATCTGTAAACATCTAGTTTGTGATGAAAGTAGGAAATGTGGCTTGTGATTTGTGACGGTTGAGACTTGGTGAGTGATACAGTTAATTCAGTTAATTTGACATTAAATCCGGTAGAGGTTTAAACTTGAGCAGTCCACCGTGTTGCTGAATTTCTTATTATTGGAGCTGGAGCTGTTTCAACATGTGTAGCTCCGCTAATGAATAATAATATTGGTTTTAGTTGTGATAATTGCTGTGGAGTTTAACTTAGTAATTTTTTTCTGCTAATCTTGTTATATCTGCAAGCTCTGAGTTAAAATAATGTTTCCATACAGCTAACCAATCATGCTAATTCTGCATTTTGTGCTATTAATCTTTTTGTCAAATGAGTTTTTGGATTCCTGTACTAGGACATTTGAATGTTTAGAACTCTGCACTCTTAAACAATAGTGATATTGGTAAACTTCAACCTCATCAGAATTTTGGCATTCCACTTTAGCAAATACAAAGATTCTATGTAACAAACATCCATGTACCAGTTTTATTCGCAGTTTGGCTTCATGATTTTATTCCCTTTGATACAAACATTCTATGTAACATTTGTAATCTTTCTGCAGTTAATTCAAATAATTTAATGCTGAATCCTGTGGAGAAGGCCTATAAGTTAGTAGTGCACTGTGTAGCTGTTTTAGCAAATTTCTTATGTGTTTAAGCTTGCTTCAAATCCATGGAGTTTTCCTTAGTAAGACCATGTTATCCTTGTCTGTCAGCCTCTGAGCTAATTGGTGTTTTCATACAAAATTTACCAATGTACTGCTAATACCTGTGCTAATGAAATCTGGGAGTCCTGTAGATATATTAATTTTCAGTGCTCTGCATTCTTTTTTTTTTTTGTGTGTGTGTTTTGAAATAATAGGAGGGTCTAGCCTCTACTGATTACTCCCTCCATTCCAAATTATAAGACGTTTTAGCTTTTCTAGATACATATATTTTGTTATGCACTTAGATATACATTATGTCTAGATACATAGTTAAAGAAATGGCAAAACGTCTTATAATTTGGAACGGAGGGAGTATATATTAACAATAAGAAGAAAAAAAGTCTGTACAAAGAAGGAGCTCTACACTCTTCAATGCCAAATGGATAAACTGAACTTGGTAGGAAGTTTAGCGCCAGCCTTTAGAAATACATACCCATCTGTCTAGCACGTTTTATTCTTTTGCTTGGCTTTGCAAGGGGTGTAATACAACATTGTCTGTATTATATGTCTTTGCTATTGTGGAAAATCCTCTCAGTATATTCACATGTATAAATGTGGTATTGTTTTAATCTGACTACAATTCTCTGCTCTAATGAAGTAATGATTTTGCAGATGCAACAACTAATAAACCGATTGTTTCCATTTGGACGAGGCCTATGCCATGCTTACTGGGCCCCAAACTTTTGGGTATTCTATATTATACTTGACAAGATTCTTGCATTTCTTCTTAGAAGACTAGGCTTTAACATTGCCATACCTGAAGCTTCATTTACTGGGGGGCTCGTTGGTGATTCATCTCCTTTTGCTGTTCTTCCGAAGGTTCTTTCTTCCACCATCCATTCTGCCTGTTCTTTTTGTTTATTCCATTGAAACGTGATGGGTTTATGATTTCATATCTGTGAACTTAATGGATTGCAGGCCACCCCAATTGCTACATTCTTATTGGTCATTCTTGCCATGGCTCCTTGCCTTATCAAAGCATTCTCTAATCCTCAACCAAAGCATATTATTAGATGGGTCTCATATGCATGCACATGTGGGTTTATGTTTGGATGGCATGTACATGAGAAGGCATCACTTCATTTCACTATCCCACTTGCCCTAATTGCCATGGATAGCTTGAGCGATGCCAGGCATTACTTTTTGTTGTCCATAGGTATGTTTTGCTCTTGGATACAGTTCAATGTTTACTTTGTTCCACTTGCGACATTTCTTGAAGCAACGTTTTTGGGTGCCTTTTCTGCCAATGAAAAAAATGTTCTTTTGCGATCTTGCCCACCTCTGTATCTGCGTTATTCCCATATTATGTTTTTTAAGTAGTATTATGATTGTCATGTCAGAAATGTGATAAACCTGGCTAACTGCCAATTAATCATTTGCTTAAAAAAATTGTCTGCAGTTTCATGCTACTCTCTATTCCCATTGCTGTTTGAGAACCAAGAGTACCTGATAAAGGTGATGCTGCTGCTGACCTACGTTGCCCTCATGTGGGTCGTTTTTACGTCTCATTTTGCTGCAAACTCTGATCTGGAAGGAAAGAAAGTAAATCGGTCAGGCAGCACAGTGAAGAAGAATATCATCATTGGATGGATTGGTTTAAGCTACCTCTTGGGAATTGCAGTTATAGAGTTATGGTCTCAAGTATTTCACCATCATGTATTCGGCGATAGGCTCCCCTTCCTACCTCTCATAATGGTGTCATTCTATTGTGGCCTTGGAATGATGTACTCCTGGGTGTGGCAGCTTGTACATATAGTCAGACACACATGATTTGATTACCGGTCATCAATAGCAGCATTCCCTTGCCTTTCTTGGGTTGAGACTAATTGCGATGGCATGCTGCCTGGACCGATGCAGCGGCTAACAGTCATGACTCGTGACTGGGACAGCATTTTCTTTTAGCTGTCGAAGTCATTGTTTGTGTGCAAGAAATTTTATGGATGTGTGACCGTGTTATGATGTAATGTCAGTTTAAGTAACAGGAAAGCTGCTTGTATCAACCCATGCTTCATGCGTGGCACTTTTCCTCCCATCTTTTACAATTTTTTGAGTGTGTATGAAGTATCAACGATTCAATTTTATAGAAAGAAAAGAAATCAATTGGGATGTATGATCTCCTTGTCGTCGATCTGTTTACATGCCTATTACATTTGCGAGATGGAGCAGTACTTTTCAGCGAACGAACAGTGTATTCTTCTCACAACAAATCAGCATGAGTATCAGCATAAGCTGAATTTCAGCGAAATGAACAGGGATGGACACAGGATGTGCACGCTAGTGAGCGATTTTTCCACTGGCTTGCTAGGTACTAGCCGATTTCTCTTTGCCTGATAGCATCTTGGTGCTTCTCGTCTTCTCTGCTCAGCCAACGCCACTCAATGCAGACTTTACGATTGCCATAGCTCAAGGTCGGCTGATACTGAGAGTTTACGGCAAAGGGGCTCCCAGTTGCGGCCAGCCGGCCAAGTTTAGAATGACTGGATTGAAATTGAAAGGGGGGAACCAAGGACGCCGGGACAGAGCCGAATTAACAAAAGAAAAACAGTTTAAACTTTACAATTGACTGAATTGCAATTGAAAGGGAAACAAGGGATGGAATTAACAACAAAACAGTTTAGGATTGTCTGAATTGAAATCGAAAGGGGAAACAAGGGACGGAATTAACAAAAAAAGAAAACAGTTTAGAATTGACTGAATTGAATTTGAAAGGGGGGACAAGAAACAAACTGAATTGAATTTGAAAGGGGGAACAAGAGACAAAAACAAATTGAAAAAACATCAAAAATTAATCAGAGCCAAAAAAAACTTTTTGAAAAAACATCAAAAAAGAAAACAGTTTAGAATTGACTGAATTGAATTTGAAAGGGGGGACAAGAAACAAACTGAATTGAATTTGAAAGGGGGAACAAGAGACAAAAACAAATTGAAAAAACATTAAAAATTAATCAGAGCAAAAAAAAAATCGAAAAAACATCAAAATAAAATATCAAAGCCAGGTTTCTATCCTGAGACATGTGGGTTATGGGCCCACCACGCTTCCTCTGCGCCACTCTGATCTTGGTGTCAGATAAGACTATAAATCCAAAATAACGGATAGTGTTTTACGCTAAGCAATTTTGTTCAAATTACAGTAAGGTATGACAGACTATGGCATTCCAAGGAAACGTGCACACAAATTATAGAGTTCCAAAATAAAACAACACTTATTATTACTTCACCTCATATGTCACTGGTTACCTTGTTCAAACTAGAAATTGCTATACGGATTCTACGCATCACCAACAGCATTCTCACATAAGCTTCACTTAAACTTGGCATCCACGGCACAAAAACAAAGACATCGACAAACAAAAAGGCAAAGTGAAACGCTGACCCCTTTTTCCCTGATCCCAAGCCTACGTAAAACGTCGATCACCTACGAACTTACCACCAACATCTCTGCCTTTTTTCCACTTGTCCAAAAACTGAAAAAAGCGCATGGACACGGGACACCTGCTTTCCTCTTTCCACCGTCCCGGATTGGGATGTGCACGTTCTTGGTGAACAACAATTTGCCGTCTTTGCAGACATGTTTGACTCGCGTACTTGTACTTTCACTTCACAAATAAAGCTCTCTCTCACACACACGGGGATATAGTCATGTATATAACTTGCATGGACTGGATACTTAAGACCAGAACGATGAAGCCGCAGTCATTTTAGTCAAACGCGTTTCCTTCATCTTCCGTATGGGTCCAAACGCTTGAAAGCTCCTGGGTCCGTGGCAGCATCTGGGACTGGGCCGGGCAACGGTGGTGATGTCACGGAGAGTTAGGTCACATGCGAACGCGTCACGTCGCCTGGATTTGATGTATCTGCCCTTGCAAGCGATAGATCAGTAGAGGTAGAGGTAATATTGTTGTAGTAAACCCTTGATTCAGAATGGCGATTACGACAGTAATTTTTGTTTAGTCTTCAGGAAAGTAACATCACGTGTTCGTTGTTTCTCCGCACCAGGTGTTTCGTTACACCCGGACACGGATCAAGCAATTGACTAACAGAGTCGTTGGCCGGCTGCATTGCACTGCACGTCAGCACATCACCTTCCATGAAGCTGTTGTTACCACGTCAAAGATTTAAGGATAAGGTTTATATTGCTAGGCAAGAATTTGATTTGATCATGGTCACTGATGCAGGGTGCCGAGTAAACCACGCGGTCCTCAATGGTTTAGTTATTCATGGCAGGTAAACTGAGCGCGCGCCTGGAACATTCCCGGGATGAAATTCAGGCACTGCACGGGCATGCAAGAGATAGCAGTCGTATTCTCGAGTATTCATATGGACTGTTCTTGACGGCTTCCATTGTGACATCATAATATCATATCCCTGGCAGATTGTTTAAAAGATCAAAAGGTCACAGAGCAGGCAAGTCCAACTCCCTGCTGATGCTCATCATGCCATGGCATCAGGGCTGAGCGAATGAGCCCAGAGACGGAGAGACAGAGAAAGACAAAGAGGATCTCGTGAATCATGATGATGCATGGAAGTATGGAATGCAGAACAATAACTCAAATTGAGCACCAAACAGCTCTGCCTGCTTCCCAGTCCAGGCTTCTCATGTCGCGAATAGCACGACTGCATTTGGTATCCAAGAAGATGCAGGCATGCCTTGAAGCTGCAGCTTTCGCATTGGGCATCAATTTTTTTTAGTATAAGAATAAGAATCCCACTTGCCATCTATTGCAAGGTAGTGCTTTCTTCTTGTCCATAATAACGGAAAACAACAAGGAATCATCTTTTGCTCCTTTTGGGCTACATGTAAAAGGTGAAGGTGTAGTAGAACTGGTGGAGTGGAGGTCAGTCGTTCAGGCAAGTCTTTGTGTGATCTTACTGTGAGCAAAAGCTCACTTTTACAACGAGGTACAAGTACTGCTAGTCTGCTAGTACGTACTAGTACTAGGAGCTAACTGCATTTCACATCTCAAGGACAGATTCTAAATGGAACCACGCACATGATCCAGACCCAGTACGAACCATTGGTATTAGCAACAAATTTGACCGTTAATGACATCATATAAACAACGAAATTTGCCAATCTCGATCATGTCAAAGAAAAAAAAAAGACTGTACGTCACAGACCTCAGTCCTGGATCCCTAGGCCCCCTGCAATGCAATGCAGTGCCGGCAACATGAGAAGAAGAAGAAGAAGAAGACTGTAGTAGAAACAGCAAGCCCTGTGGTGCACTACTGTTACCCATATATTTTAAGTGTTTCGAAGAACCTAGCAAGGGTAGCATGCTTGGAGATACAATAATATTCCTGGACTCCTCCCGATTACAATGCCCCATGGGTTATAGTATTATAACAAGGCCTGCACGCATCATCAGAAGTCTAGCTTTGATTTGTTTGTTCTCATCCTTCAGACAAACGGCGAATTAGCGATGTGATGGCTGCGTCGCTGCTTGCTGCTTTGGAAGGTGTCCAGGGGCCGGGATGCATGGCAGGCCAAAGAAAGAACAAGGTTGTAGTGTGTCTCAAGGCATCTCTAGCTCCCTTAACTTATCCAGCTAGCTTATCCAATAGGCTGATCCGGCGAGGTAGGGCGCCCCTCCGGCGGGACCCCGCCCTCCCGGCCCTCCTGATGAGCTGTGAGGTTGAAGACGAGCAGCACTGCAGGGCGAGCAACGATGAAATTAGCCACGACCATGCCATCATTTTTCAATTCTTTGCATAGGCAGCTACCTCACTTCCACCTCTAACGTCCCAAGCCAGGGCATAGGTCAGTCTACTGCACTCGCAAGCCCCTCGGCCGGCCGAATCGACCTGCCCCTGTACGTGTGAGCGTGCTCTGTTTTGAGCAAGGAGGTGAAGGGGAGAATAGAAGAGAAGTGAGGGTTCGGGTGTTAAAGTACAAGAGACAAAGAAATAAGTGGACATTGTAAAGTAACTTGTGAATAGTCTAGGGTTCCCAATGCAAAAATAAAATGCATCTCTCTAACCTATGTTAGAGAATGTATGCGGAAACTAAATTTTGTTAATAAATTCAGGAAAAACCAAATTAACTTAATTTTCTCTCACAAACAATTCATATTAACTGGATTTCGAGACACACAAAAATTCTAGAAGTTAATTTAGAAGTTACATGTTACACACTTTATATCTTGTATTCTTAGCATACTTTGAAAGGAAGTTATTGTCTTCGATAATCTTGAGAAAAAATATAGAAAGGTTTAAGTGTTAACGTAACCCTGAAGGCGGTGGCAGCGCTCCCATAGTCATGCTCTCGCCTTCGGCCTCTTGATACCCCGACATAGCAGTTGTCGACGACTATCGTACCCCAATGGGCGACGCTCTTGCATTCAAGGTGCCTCAGTTGGGTGGCTTCTGGCCTCCTGTACCTCAGAGGGCGGCCCTGCGCGTCTCAATAGCGAGGTGCCTTTTGATTGTTGATTTCATTCTTATTTGTTGTTATAACACTTTTCTTCATGATATACATGTAAACATTCTATCATTTTTAGCCAAAATTTTGTACCCTAAGTTCGCCCTACCTCCATTTTCAGTAGTGGTGGATCCATGATAAAAGTTTAGGAAGAGACTAAGTTCAAACTGTTCAGCAGACACGAAGTTATTGTTTTAGGAAAACTAAGGCCCAAACCTCCTCTTCTTGCCATCATTTTCAACCTCAAGCTCCTCCTAACCTTCTCCCATGGCTAAAATTTCAAGGGGCTGAGGAGGGCTCCATGGACGTGGCCGCAATTAGGGTTGGGGGGGGGGGGCGAGCCCCGGTGCCAGATCCGCCCCTGATTTTCAGCGTTAGGAGTTTCGACGAACTATCTGTACTCCTGCTTCACTTTTTTCCATTTGGTGCATGTGGTGCCGGTGAGCTGACTCAAAGCTGAGGCTATTTGCTACCACATCAGCGCCTTACCCTTAGTCTTCCGCCATGACCAGGCCCATGGGAACGCGAAGAAGAACAACGAGGTACACCTCACCTTTGTCCTAGGCCGGTTGCACCCTCTCCGTGTTCGCGGAGAACAGCAGGCTTCGGGTGCACCTCCTCCTCCTGGCGAGGGTGATGGGTGGCGTGGGTGCTAGAGCCAGCACCGAGGGCGGCAACGTAGTAGCCAACACCTTGACTAGCTCCGAAAAAGGGGTTGCGGGTCGTCGCTGTTGAGGGCAGCAACAAGCTGGTCGAGGCGACTACGGCAGCTCCCAGCTATTCACAGCTGGAAGCTGTCGTCACGGTCTAGCAGGCAGCGTGCCACCTCCTCAAAGACCGCGACTGCGTCTCCCTACCTCGGCAGCCACCAAGACGTGCTTGAGCTCTATGCAGATAAGAAGGAAGCAATGCGTCTTCTTCCGAAGCAACCGATCATCGTCCATCTCGAGCAAGAGAACACAGTGATTAGATGTTGGTAGGTAGAAGTAGGGATGGATTAGCAGTGGGGAGGGGGGCTCAGCCCCCCTACCGCCGCTGATCCTATGGAGCCCTTAGAGCCCTTCTAAGAATTTTTGTTACGTCTGCTTTTAGGAGGAGGGGCTAGAGATTAAAGATGACGACTTTAGCTCTCTTGAACTTTCATC